CCCCCCCCCCCCCCCCCGTTCTCCTCCTTCCCCTCCCCTCGGAGGCCCCCTGAGTCAGGAGTTGCTACTGCCGGCGCGGCTCCGGTCCTGCGTTGCCTCGGGAAGGGAAAGGCAAAAAGGAAGAGCCGCGGCGGTGCTTTGCAACGGGAGCAGTGGCACCTGAGGCTCAGGCTGGTTTTGCCTTTTCCTTCCCAAGGCAACGCGGGACTGGAGCCGCACGGAGCTCCGCCGGCAGTAGCAACTCCTGGCAGCCCCAGCCGGACACCTGAGCGGAGCCCGGGCGAAACTGCCTGTTGCTGCTGCCGGAGCACCGCCGGGTCGCCTCCTCCAAGCAGCCTGCCCGCCCGCCGGGCTTCCCCTCTGCCGCGCGGCTCGGGGCCAGGCGCGAGTGCCCGCGAGTTAAAAGGAAGCCGAAAGTTGCTGGGAAGTTGCTCGGGTGCTGGGAGCAGGCTTTTAAAGTGCTGCCCGAGCAAAGTTTAAGCAGCCCGCCCGCCCGCCGGGCGGAATCCTTCCTGCTCCTCGGCGGGAAGACGCTCCAGCCTGCAAACTTTGCCTTTGCAAAGTTTAAGCCTGGAAGCCCCGGAAACCCAAGCAACTTCCCAGCAACTTTCGGCTTCCTTTTAACTCGCAGGCGCTCGTGCCTGGCGGAGGGGAAGCCCGGAGCCTCCTCCAAGCAGTCCGCCCGCCCGCCGGGCTTCCCCTCTGCCGCGCGGCTTGGGGCCAGGCGCGAGCGCCTGCAAGTTAAAAGGAAGCCGAAAGTTGCTGGGAAGTTGCTCGGGTGCTGGGAGCAGGCTTTTAAAGTACCGCCCGAACAAAGTTGAAGCCTGGAAGCCCTGGAAATCCGAGCAACTTCCCAGCAACTTTCGGGTTCGTTTTAACTCGCGGGCGCTCGCCCCGAGCCGCACGGCAGCCCACTCCAAGCAGCCCGCCCCACCTGCCGGGCAGAACCCTTCCCGCTCCTCGGCAGGAAGACGCTCCAGCCTGCAAACTTTGCCTTTGCAAAGTTTAAGCCTGGAAGCCCCGGAAATCCGAGCAACTTCCCAGCAACTTTCGGCTTCGTTTTAACTCGCGGGCGCTCGCCCCGAGCCGCACAGCAGCCCGCTCCAAGCAGCCCGCCCCGCCCATCAGGCGGAACCCTTCCCGCTCCTCGGCAGGAAGACGCTCCAGCCTGCAAACTTTGCCTTTGCAAAGCCCTGGAAGCCCCGGAAAACCGAGCAACTTCCCAGCAACTTTCGGCTTCGTTTTAACTCGCGGGCACTCGCCCTGAGCCGCACGGCGGAGGGGAAGCCCGGAGCGCCACCGGGTCGCCTCCTCCAAGCAGCCCGCCCACCCGCCGGGCTTCCCCTCCGCCGCGCGGCTCGGGGCCAGGCGCGAGCGCCCGCGAGTTAAAACGAAGCGGAAAGTTGCTGGGAAGTTGCTAGGGTGCTGGGAGCAGGCTTTTAAAGTGCCGCCCGAGCAGGACCGCTGAGCCGGGAAACGGCACCAAGGCAGGGCAAGGCTCCACCAGCAGCGGCCTAGCTTTAGGTGGCTCCAAGCAGCCCGCCCCGCCCGCCGGGTGGAACCCTTCCCGCTCCTCGGCGGGAAGACGCTCCAGCCTGCAAGCTTTGCCTTTGCAAAGTTTAAGCCTGGAAGCCCCGGAAAAAAAAGGGTGATCGACGGGGACTCACCATCGGAGAGGTCGCACTCGAAGGTGATTTCGAACTCCCAGCCAAGGCCTTTGCAAATTTCTTTTCTTTCCTACCCCTAGATCGCTCCGCACTGTTTTGCAGCTTTGGCGGCCACGCGGCACAGGGCAATACGCCACACCCAGCGATTTTTTTTCAGGGGCGGGCCGGATTGGACAGACCAATGGCAGCGATTTTTTTTCAGAGGCGGGCCGCATTGGACAGACCAACGGGCCGGATGTGGCCCGCGGGCCGTAGTTTGCCCACCCCTGCTATATGGAGTATGATGCCTTTATCTCTCTCCCCTATATTTATAATACTTAATATAAAACACATAACTTACATTGGGATTCTGTCTGGTACATTCTAAAATTATACTATGTTATCAAAAATGATACAAATCTATTCATTAGTATTGATACTCATTTATATCTTAAACGTTTAACACATTACTTTTCAATTAAATCACATACTTTTATGGGAGCCCTATTTTCCATAGTTATTCCCCCCCCCACACACATCACATATTATAGCTCATTATTTCATTACGATGTTCCTCCTCCTTCTACTTCAAATCTCTCATTTCACAAAAAATTTCGCTAATATACCATAGTCTGATCATTAATATTAACAATCAATTATATCTTAAATATTTTATCCATTTCAATTAAATATCATGCCTTTGTGGGAACTTTCCAAAATGCTTTCCAAAAATTATTACCACCCCCCCAAATAACAATCTTAAATCATATTTCATTGCAGTACTCCTTTTTTCTTAACAAAAATTTCACTAGTTTATGTTAAATATTTTATCACATTTTAAATTACATATTATTTCCAATTTTCTATAGTTATTTCTAAATACAAATATATAAAAAAACAGTCTTATGTACCTTTCTAGAATCCCTTTATCAATAAAGTTTATCCATTATCTCTAAACAAACTTTTGCTTCTTAACATCTTGCTCCCCACCATTAGGGCTTCTCATCCCTTCCTTTCTCCCTTGCTTTTTCTTCTCCTTGTCCTCTTTAACCCCTTGTCTCTCCACCTCCCTTTTATTCTGTTTTCCCCCTTTCTGTTGTTTCCTAACATAATGTCCCTTTTTCACCTTATTCTTCTCTTTTTGGGTTGTTTTTCCAGATCTTAGAGTCCTCTTTCCTTTTTTCTCTTCCTTTTTCCCTTCTCCAACCAAAGTCATTTGTTCATCAAAGATGGCTTCTTCTTTGTCCCCTTCATCCTGTTGTTCATTCTGCTTCACATAAGTATAAAACGTCATTTCTAAAAATTGAAAAATAGTGCCAAGACCATCTTTCCCTTCTTGTTTTTCTTTTTCATATTTTTGATATACAAGTTTCAATCCATCCACAAGTGATGCCATTGTGTAGAGAAAAAGTTTTTCCAGACAACCACCCAGATGTTTTAATCAGAAATAATTCTCAAAAGTTCCAAAGTCACCAAACAATCCAAACAGGCTGTTTCTTTTAAATACCTTCTTCTTCTTCACTTTCTCTTTCTGGAGTTAAAGTTCAATCACAAAGTTCCCTTTCAAATATATTTTTTGGAAGTCTTATTGATGTTTAGTAACTCTTTAAAATTCTAGGCAATCTTCTCCTTATTTTCAAATTTTGCTCCAATTTTTTTCCCTCTCCCTTCCCACTCACAGCCAAAATGATTTCCCTCCGCTGTCACTTTAGGAAGGAGAGTGGAACAAAGAAAAAACTTTCCCTTTTAAAATATTCGCAGCTTGTAACTCTCACTAGAGACAATGCATACTTAGCAGCCTTCAAGATTCCAGGTCACTTTCTCTTGTCTTGTCCCGGTTAGAAGCAACTTTCACTATTCTTCCGACTTTCTTCCTCCTGCACCTGCTTGTCCGGCTGCAGATTTCTTCATGGCGGCCATTACTGACCGCCGTTCCTCCGCCTCGGGAAAAGGGGGTTTAGCCGGCTGGGGAGGGGGTCTGCGTCGCCCCCAAACCCCTTTCCGGATCCCCCCTGTCTTCAGCTGCCTCTACGGGGCAGCTTTATCCCCCAGATCCAAACGGATCGGGGGAACCTTGGCGGCGAACGCAGCAGGGATTGTGCGGTATCGCGAATCCCTGCCGCCGCCGAAACCTTGCAAACCGGAAGTCCTATCCCTCCTTTTTATATGTACAATTAGAGGCGGCAAACATTGTTTTTTTAAAAAAATTACATTTATTTATTTATAAAACTTATATTACGCCATCCATTTCGCGGTCCATACTTATTTTCCCCACAACAACCCTGAGAGGCAGACTGGGCTGAGAGAGACTGACTGACCCAAAGTCACCCAAGTGGCTTTTAGGTCTAAAGGAGGCCTCTTGGTTTCTCGCCAAGCCTGTTCCTCACTACACCAAACTGGTTTATTTCAAGGCAGGGGGTCCCCAAACTTGGTAACTTTAAGCTGTGCTGGCTGGAGTATTCTGGGAGTTGAAGTCCACAAGTCTTAAAGTTGCCAAGTTTGGGGACCTCTGGTTCAAGGCAACAAACATGCCTCTCTTAGTGAACTTCAGTGCTGCCACTCAAAAAACCTGTGGGGGAGGTTGGTTTGACCCACACTTACTGAGTTAAGGCATGAGGGCTGAAAGTGGACTCAGTTTATTAGATTGGATACCATGGTATGCAACAGGAATAGTTGGTCCAGAGGAATGAAAAGAAGGACAAACAAAAACCCCAGGCTTAGTTATAAGGAAGTGGTGGGCTGCAAGATAGAATAACACCATAGATGTGTACAGAACGGAATTAGAATATATAAATGAAGATTCAATCATCCAGTAAAAAAAGTATTTTAAAAAGGTTAAATCATGGCAACTCGACCAGAGTTTATTAAAACTGAGATGTTTCATTACTCATCCAAATAACTTCTTCAGTCAAAATGGAAATTTTGGGTAGGCAGAGTTGTTGGAATGCACCAAATCTTGCCATACAGACTGCAGGGGGAGGTTCTCTCCATAATGAAAAGCAACATATAGATGAAGACTCAATCATCCAGGCCAAAAGTATCTAAAAAGGGTTAAATCATGGCAACATGGAAATGGAATTGGAAGATACCGGAAAGATAATCTAGTCCAGCCTGCTGCAGTGCACAGAAAATTCTACCTGAGTGGTGGCTATCCAGTCTGTTTTTAAAACTTTTAGATGGACATCCCATAAATTCCATGAGTACAGAACTTACCATCAAAATGCTTTTTCCTGATGTTTAAACAGCATCAAGATAGTCACAACATAAATTCAATATTTTTGTCCTAGTTTCTGTCATAATAGAAAAGAGTTCCTCACTGTCTTTATAACAGCCTTTTTATGTAACTAACCATTGATATGTTTCCTGTCAGTCATCTTTGCTCCAGATTGAACACCTGCCTGACTTTAGAGAACATGATCTCAAATCCCCATTTAATTTTTGTTACCTTCCTCTAAACCTCTTCTAATCCATCAATATCCTTTCGGAAATAGGATATCCAAAACTACAGATAGAATTTATGCTTAAATTTATTAATTTAATTTATTATTAGAATTTATGCTTAAACATTCTAGTTGTCTAAAGTCTTGCTTGATTGTAGGCTTATCCTGGAGAAGCATGGTCTTCCCTGCACTGATTAGATGTGTCAAATGTCATAATTTAGTTAGATCTTCAAAAGCAGCTGTTGGGGGCTTCCATGTTTTATAAAAGTTACAATTGTAAATGCAAATTATAAAAATGCAGTTGTAAATTGTAATATAGATTGTGCTTTCAATTGCATCTTCTTACTTTCTATATATGATTCAGAGTGACTTGTGTATGGACCTGTTAAATTAGGTTTCATTTTCTATCATGTTTTTTTCATTAAACAAGCTTTAGAAGACAGACAAAATGAATGTCAGCTAGTTTTGTCAAATATCATCCATAGCTGTGTTTTTCTGTCTTCTGGGCTGTGCAGATAGATAAGCTGTATGTGAATATTTAACTTATCTAGCAGAGTCACAGCTTTGTAATTTGTTATGTTGACAGTTCAGTTAAATATTACAGTAGGGAAAATCAATGTTCCTTTTCTTTGAGAAGAAAATCAGATTTCTCCAACAAGTCAACTCTAACCTTATTCTGTGAACAAGAGATCCTCCTCTTACCTATGAAAAATTTGTCCCTTTAGTATATTAGTGTGGCATAGAATGGTTCAGGCAGCATGTCTGAAAACATGTGTTCCAGGTGACAGGCACATTGTATGACTGATACAAGTGGATTCATCTGAACATAAGGGTAATGGTAACAAGTTGTATTTGTTTAATTTTCATCTTAGGCTTCTTAAGAGAAGGAAAAGTTAAAGCATGAACAATACTGACATAAATATTGCTGTTTATAGTGCTTCAGAGTCTCTCATATGTTGTAATGGTGCAAGACACTAAGAAGATATAGTGGGTATTGTCTGCTTTCTCACTTATGTACTTAACTGTGGATAAAGTCTGTGAGAATGTGGTTGGCACTCGGAAAATAATTCCCAATTTCAGCTGGAATTTCATTGCAATGTTTCCAAATATACTATACTGGTTCTGTGTTCTCAGAAAGCTTTGGCAAACCACAAATGTGCTTCATCTTCTCCTTTCAGACTGCATGCTCTGAAACATGACGTTTCCCAGCCCAGTTTACCTTATAGGGTGGTTGCTGTAGGGAAAAATAGCAAAAAGTGGTAAGTGCAGGTAGTCCTCAACTTACTACCACAATTGAGCACAATATTTATTTTGCTAAACAAAGCAGTTTTGAGTAAGTTGTGCCCTGTGACCTTTTTTTTCTGCATTTGTTAAGTGAATCATGCAGTCACTTAAGTACATGCCAGTTGCCAACTGTCTGGATTTTGAGCATGTGACCACATGCATGCTGCTATGATCGTAATAGCCAATCTCATTGTACACATGTTGTACTCTGACAATAAAAGTAATAAGTATGAAAAACAGCCATAGGTCACTTTTTCAGTGCTGTTATAATTTTGGTCACTAAATGAATGGTTGTAAGTCAAGAACTACCTGTATTGTATGCCTCTTGAGTTCCTGAATTAAAAGTGGAATATAAGCCAAAAAAATAAATAGCAAGAAATGTGGCAGCAGTTCATGACAACATACAAGAGATACTGCAGAGAGGTATCTTCAGTAATCTTCAAATGTGAAAGAAGCTGGTATTTCGAATTATACTGTACTTGGCTTTTAATTGTTTTCTCCATTTCTTTTCATAGCCGTGCACCAATGCGATCAGCTCCACCCATGGCTGCACGTGCTCCTGTCCCTGCTCCAGCCCCAGCTTCAGCCGTGGGTTCTCCTGCCCCCAAGCAGCCTGGCCTGATGGCCCAGATGGCCACCACAGCTGCAGGTGTCGCTGTAGGTTCTGCTGTGGGCCATACTTTAGGACATGCCATGACTGGCGGCTTTGGGGGTGGAAGCTCTGAAGCTGCAAGACCTGACATCACTTACCAGGTAAAATAAATTACTTCTTTTCTGAAATGTATACTTTCAAAAAAAATTGTGAACTGGTTAATAGGGAGAACAAAAAGGGAAAGACATGTGGTACTTTAAAAAATGATATTTTTAACATGAAGTGCTATTTTTTGAAGACTCCATTTCTTCATAGTGTTCCACAAGACAAACCATTTATTCTTTTTCAGGCTGCTGCTGCTATTAGCATAATAGCATTATTAAATATAATGTAATATAATGTATTAAATATAATGGAATGCTTGAGACATTTAATTGAAGAAATTGGAGGATAAAGCCTGCTAATTAGGAAATGGGTTACATGAAATTGTCAGCAGGGCTGAGAATTCCACAATTTGTGTATGTGAACTTTCCCTGTTTTTGCAGTTTGTAACAAGAAGAGGTCCTGGTTGGACTTCCTTATCAGGATCTGTTATTCTCTCCCTTCCCCTCTTCCAATTCTCAGTCTCATTGCTTGCATTTCTTCCTTAGGAGCCTCAGCCAGCCCAGCCTGCTATGCAGCAGTCCCAATACACGCCTTGCCAGTATGAGATGAAGCAGTTCTTGGAGTGTGCTCAGAACCAGGCTGATCTGAAGCTATGTGAAGGGTTCAGCGAAGTCCTGAAGCAATGTCGATTTGCAAACGGTGTGTAGCTTCCTCTGGAAATTGGAAGCAGGCTTCTTTTTGAAGCATGAGAAAGAGGACAGCTCGTTTAGGCACTGTTGTGAATCATTGCCGGAGGGCTTTTGACAGTGATAGTTACAATGTTAGGAAAGCATTTAAATTGTTTAACTTAATTTGTACAGTAAACTTTGCTTACTTACAGTGATAATTGAACTCCATTATTCCATGCAGAATGACAATTTAAAACTGATTTCTATAATTGCATGGCAGTTTATCCTGCAAACTTAAGATTTCCACTGTTTGTGTGCCTCCTGGCAAGCTGTTAGTTCCAGCTTTGTCAGACATTCCTGACATAGTGCATAATCTAAACTTTATGAGAAGAGGCATTTTGAAGATACTCAGTTATTGGTAGTGGTCTAGTATTGGCTATCAGTTGGCCTCATGGTATCTTGAAGAAATGCAAGTACATAATGCATTAAAGTAAAGTCATATCTGTGTTTGATCAAGGTAGTAAGTCACATCAATATACAACTTGGGAAAGTCTGTACTAAAAATCTTCAGGTAGAATTTAGTATCCAGCAACCCACTTCTACTAGCTCATTTTTAGAATTTTGATGAAAGAATTAAAAATAACATTGCATTGGTGTAAATAGTGGAGGAAAAATGGGAAGTGGCTATGGTAGTACCTAAATGTGGTAAGGAAAGGTCAGGGAACTTAAATGTGATTTTCTTTGGATCCTGCAATGTATTCTTTTTATGTATTGATACTTATATGTTTTATTTTTTTCCTTCAAATCCACAGGTTTAGCTTAATTAAACTCTGGAGGATCAAATCTAGCTCCATCACTGAGATAGATCGCCAGTAAAATGTTCTTTTAACGTCTAAAGCTCTCCGGCGTTTCTTTGTAATCAGTTTTCCATCTGACAAGAAAGCATGAAGCTTGCAGCAAAAAGAATTGTGGCAATAACTTCTTGTGATTGGAAAAATAGAATGATCATTCAGTTGTAGGATTACTTCACGTGTTATTCCAGATTGTGATTGTGTATGATCCTCAGAATAAAACATTATTATTCTGGAAAAGAGGTTTTAAATTGCCTGTCAGTCTTTGATAAATAATGATGACTGGAAACATAGGAGGCATGGGATGCATTACTTTTATTTGTAACAGTTAAGAACTTGTTTTCTTAGCTTATTGTTAAGGCAAAATATTATAAAATGCAGCATCTACTGTCATTTTTCCTGAACAATTGGGCTCAATCTACATTTTGCAATTTGGGGAGGGAGGATTATTTATTTAGTCCATTTCTGAGGCTGTTCAAAAATGGACAGATAACAAGGCAGTGATGGGATTCAAAAAATCTTACTACTGGTTCTGTGGGCATGGCTTGATGAGCGTGGCAGGGGAAAGATATACTGCAAATCCCATTCCCTCCCCACCCCACTAACCTGATTTCCAGCTCTGTTCTCCTGTGCAGGGCAACCAAAGAAGACCCAGCCAATCAGCTGGGACTCGGGAGGCAGAGAATAGATGGGGACGGAGCCAGTCAGAGGTGGGATTTGCCAATTCTCCAAACTAGTCAAAATTTCTGCTACCAGTTCTCCAGAACTGGTCAGAACCTGCTGAATACCACCTCTGTAACAAGGGTTAAAGCAGCTTAAGAACAGGAAAAAACACAACAGGTCTATCTGAGGAAGTGCTACTATCCAGATCCAAAAGTGGAAAAACTAAATGGTGGTGGTGGTGGGGGAGGGTTGAGGAGAGAAGTCAACCCAGGCACCGTACCCTCTTTAATGTCAAGTGTCAAGAAGAGATGTTCTTCCCCCTTGGGGAGGGATCATCTGCTAACAGACTCAACAGCAAAATACTTCTTAATATTTCTATAACATTTCCACAGAGATCAACAAGGTGTCATAAAATTCAGCACTGATCCCCACATTTCTTACCCTGAGCAAACAAAGTATTTCAGGAACATTCCATGGTTGAAGCAATACATACAATCAGTTGCTATCCGGAAAAAGCAACAAGGGCATTTAAAGTGATTTCCCAAGTCTCACTCCATGAATTCAGTACACAGAGACCCAGTCATGGCAATTTATACAGTACCTGAATTTGTATAAAGGTTACACTATCACGGGACGCATTCTCCCTTTCAACCTCCCAAACTCCTGGGAAATTCTCGGAACTGAAGGCTACATCTGAAAAGTGCCTGGCAATAAATAATTGATTTTGGGATACTAATACAAAAAGCAATCTTACGTAAAATAATAGGCAACAGCATCAAGATGAATTAGGGTGTCTTTTTTTTTTAAACTGAATTTACTTGACTGTCAAAAAAGATTAGCCAGAATCCTAATGTTATATTCCATAACAAATAGCTATAATGGACCCTCAAAAGCATTAAATAAAATACATATACGGTATTTCTGTTCATCATTTTGGATTACATATAAATCCCAGGGATATGCCTACGGGGAACAAAACAGTGGATAGCTAGCTGCAGTTCAATACTTTATTGATAAACTGCCTGTTAATCCAGAAAAAAAAGGTAAATTGGGAATTAGAAGCATTCTGGGGACTAAAATGGTGACCAGAAGAGGTCTCATTACTTTGCCTTTTGTTAAAAGAGTGAACAGTGATAACCAATCATGGATAAATTCTATTGCCTTTCAGTATGTCTCGTTAAATGCCAGTGCTTCAAAAAAATACCTTTGACATGAGATATGTTCCACCTATTTTTATGTAATTAAGCAACCACCTCTTCATTAATTCACTTCTATTAATGCCTTCTAAACTAAATATAATTTGAGAAAACTTCAGCTTCAGAAATATGATGAAATATACTGATAATTCTTATGTTTTAATTTTAGAATTGGATAAACCAATGTTTTTCAAACTTGGCAATTTTAAGATGTATAGACTTTAATTCCCAACTAGTTGGGGGAATTCTGAGAGCTGAAGTCCATATCTTGTAAAGTTGCCAAGTTTGAAAAATGAGAAACACTTAAAAAAAATAATGCATACATCTAATTTGTAAGCTAGAGCATACAGAAATAACATGTTAGAGACTTATGATTCATAAACAATAGTCAGATAGATGTATATAGTCAAAATACTCAATTTAAATGTGGACCATCAATAAACCTTACAGTGGTCAGGAATTTAAATTTTTGTACATAGCTCAGATCATAATTATTGCATTACAATACTCAGATTTACTTTTATGAAGCAGTGATCTAACAGAAAATATGGGGGAGATAGAATGTTGGATTAACTTTACACTCTTTAAATTTTCCTTGGAATTGTAAATAATATTCCTGTTTGCCAATCTGACCTTTACTGAATGATATGAAGAACAAATCTAAATTTTATGAATTATGTAAACAGGTTTGTCCTTGACTTACAACCGCAGTGGAGCCCAAAATTTCTGTTGCTGAGACATAATTAAGTGAATTTTGCCTCATTTTATGACGTTTCTTGCCACAGTTGTTACATGAATCACTATGCTTGTTAAGTTAGTAATACAGTTGTTAACTGAATCTGGCTACCCCATTGACTTTGCTTGTCAGAAGGTTGAAAAGGTGATCACATGACTCGGGACACTGCAACCATCATAAATATGAGCCAAGCATCTGAATTTTGATCACATGACCATGGGGATGCCACAACAGTCATTAGTATGGAAAACTGCATAAATCACCTTTTTCAGTGCTGTCTTAACTTTGAACAGTTACTAAACAAACTTGAGGATTACCTTTATCAAATGTACATGGTTTGTCTCGGGTGAGATTCAAATTTTTAACAATCGGTTCATGTGACTGGGTGGGCGTGGGTTTTTTGCAGCAACCCCCCTGCCACACTCCATATTTTTTTTTTGCCTTCCTGGGCCTCAGGAAAGCCTCCTGGGAGGTGTTTTTGCTCCCAGAAGGCTTCCCTGAAGCCCAGGAAGGCAAAAAACAGCGCCGGGGGGTGGGGGTGGGGGCTGCGCAGCACACACACATCCCATGCACACCTTTTTGCCTCCTGGGCCTCAAGGAAACCTGGGCAAAGCAGTAAGACAGGGGGATCCGGGCACAGCTGATCATTGGAACAGCTGATTGTCAGGAGGAGGAAAAAAAAGAAATACCTTAAGCAGTGACTGGGCGGGGGAGAATGCAGTCTGTGATGTTTGGCATGTGCGCAATGTTGCGCATGCATGATAAAGACTTACTGGGAGGGGAGGGGAGGGAGGGGCAGAGGGGGGCGGGGCCAGCCACGGGCATGATTTGCCGGTTCTCTGAACTGCATAGAATCATAACAACCGGTTCTATAGAACAGTCCAAACCAATAGAATCCCACCCCTGCTTTGTCTAAATTTGCATCATATTGCCCTTTTAAGCCTTCTATATTTTATTTTATTTTTAAATAAACTTTATTCAATTTTCAAAATAAGCCTTCCATATTTTAGTCTGCTCTTCATAAGTCATCTGGGGAACAGAATGTGTAAAATATTAAAGGCAGTCATTACTGCAGATGATATTTAGCAGCCCCCCTGATTTCTAAAATTTCACTAAGCACCGTTAGATATAGCATCCTGAATTTCTCAGATCTGATGCCATCTACATAAATGACTATGGGCATAGCCAGGAAAGCTAGCTGATACCCAGAGAAAATACTGAAGCCACACAACTCTGAAAACCTTCAGCAGACACCCCACTCCACAACAGCTTTCCAAAAATTATCACCCAATTGCAATTTTTATTTAATTGATTATGAGCCATCGAGTCAATATTGACTCTTAGCAATCACACAGATTTTCTCCAGGAGTAAATTTGTAAATTTGCAGACAATCTGCAATCAATAGCAGCACTGGAGAAATGTTGGACTGGTTTTACACACCGCATTCAGTTCAAGTGTGGCTAGCTTGGCTAGTTTGTCATTGTATAACCCAGATGCTTTGGCTAAATCAGTGGCCCCCAACCTTTTTTGTACCACGGCCCAGTACAAAATGTACAAAATGATCCACGGACCGGTACCGGCATCAGCACGCACAACCAAGGCAAGGCGAGCCGAGCGACCGGCCAGCCAGCCATCCCCCACTTCTCCCCGCCACCTTCAACTCCTCCTTTGTACCTTCTCGTGGTCGATGGGCTTTTCGGGCTCTTTCTTAATCTCCTCCTGAGTAACGCGAGACTCCACCGCCATCGGGACGGCTCTTTGTTCGAAGCCGCCCCCCCCCCTTCGACGAAACTAAGGCGCAAGGATTCCTTCAGCACCCAAACGCCGCTTTCCAACCAATGACCGACAAGCTTACCCGGAAGCACTTTCTCAAGCGCCGTTGAAACAAGATGGCGGCGCCCAAGCAAAATAGGCGGCCCGGTACAAAATGATCCACGGACCGGTACCGGTCTGGGGCCCGGTGGTTGGGGACAACTGGGCTAAATAACTAATCCATGGCTCAGTGTCTTGTTTAATGCAGTGCCTCTCAATTTCAGCAGCTTTAAGATGTGTGGACTTCAACTTTCAGAATAAAGTTGCCAAGTTTGAAAAAAAAATACTGAAATAATTCTAGCAAATTTGAATGAAAAAAAAAGTTTTGATGTTTGTGCCCTCTCCCTAGCATCAGGACCACAAAGTTGCCTATAAAAGCTTTGCTATGAAAGAGGTTAGTATGTAGGGGAGGGAAGGAGATGCTCGTGTGTGTGGAAGTAAAGCAGCAGAAAGCAACTAGAAAGGTATGCTTTTCTCTAACAGTACTTACAGGGAGTAGGAGTAGGAATAGTAGTAGAAGCAGTGGGGGAAGAGTAGAGAAGAGTGAACAGTGGGCAATGGTAGGGGAATATGTGAGTTCTTGTATGTGTTATTTAGGGATCTATGAGGTGGGCTTTTTTGTGTATGTTTTGAGCCCACCAAATTGGATACTGTTCCATATTAGCAGGCTTGAAACCCTGCATTCCTATTGATACAATTTAAAATATCCATGATAACTTTTGATTAAGAATTTAAATATGCCATTAAGAGCCAGCTGCATTCTCAGCTGCTCCCAAATGTGCCCATTAAGATACAAGGTATTATAGAAGTGAATTAATGAAGAGGTGGTTGCTTC